TAACTCACAATACGCATACTCAGTTATAACACTGCATGCAAATATTGTAAAAGATATTTAAAGACGTAGTTTTATATTTCGCTTTTTCATCGTAGAACGAGACTTTTTTCAGTTGATGGCGAGGGGATATACAAAACTATTTTCTGTTGATGGGAGTGGCTTACAAACTGCTGTTCGATAACACATTTATATCACGATTTATTTTTTATTCATACATAATTTTAGTCAGGGACTGGGCAGGCGGCATAGCTTATTCTAGCCTTTTCCCTAAATATTCAACTTTATTAACATCATTTTATACATTGCCTCCGTAGGAATCTAATATTGAAATTTGATATAATTTTGACATACGTCTTTAAAATGCAGATTTCTGAGTGATTTGTCATTTTCTTCATATGGCGAAACCTAAATTATTCAATTGATCAGATTTCATCATCAATTAGTAATATATTTTGTTTTTCTAGTGCTTTATACACAATATTGGGAAGCCTATCCTTCGGAGTTTATTTTTATGCTATCTGCTAGTAATAGATCTGGGGAAAGTTAACCTTTATCAGTTCCGACCTTTCTACAGGCACGGGTCCAGGAATTTAATTTCAGAGGGGTTTACCCCAGTCAAAAAAAAATATTACCCAAAAATTCCTTGACAAAACAAAACAAAACAAAAACAAAACAAAACACAAAAAAACGTAAATTCCATTTCTCAAACGTGAAAAACACCTTTTTCGTGGTGGTGATGGTGGGGTCAACGTTTTTAGAGGGGGATGGGTCCAGTCATTTCTTAATTGCTTCAGTATATACTTTTTATAACTCTGCAAATTCCAGGGGGGGGGGGGGGGCGACCCCCCTCTAGATCCGCGCATGTTCTATAATCCAGAGTCTTATTTTTTTTTAAATAAAAAAATTAAAAATCTTATAACTTCTTAACAATTTGAACATTTATTAGAGCACCATGCATGACATTAAACAAACGCACACCTAGCCATTAATGACAATCAACTGTTTCAATCCACTACACTATGCACTCCAAATGACATAAACTGCAAAGAAATGTTACTATGATTTCAAATAGCCTACGAAATTAAGAACATAATTACACGTATGTCTAATGAAAGATTCATCGAAATACAATTTAAAAATTTATGATAAAAAAAATCTGAAAAAGTCAGACAGAACATTGATTTTCTTTATCTAGGAACATAAAACTCACAAGGACTTTACTGTAGCAAGCTAGAACTTACATGTATTTATGCAACTCAGTTCGCATGCGCAAACGGATGTTCGCGTTAAATGTTTCCAATTAGAAACATGCAGTTTTGTTAGCAATGTTAAGCTTACTCTAAAGAGTTTAATATTAATCAAGTACAACAACATAGTATTTATCAATTATAAATGTTGAGGATATTTTTTCCCCAATAACTTTACAGTAAAAGTATGCTGCGGTAAGTATTTTAAAAAAATGACAAAACTGTAACACAGAGAACAAGTGCTTGGTTTTTGTATTAACTTATATATATATATATATATATATATATATATATATATATATATATATATATATATATATATATATATATATATATATATATATATATATATAAAGGTAAATTTAATACACTAATAACACAGTGCATGACTCCATTACAAAATATCACTGTTCTTTGGAGTAGATGAAAGACGATCAGAAGCTATATTTAAACTTTGCAACACATATTCTTGTATCTATAGGTTTTAGGAAATTTGTGTACATCTGTTTCACGGAGGACATGTACAAAATTTTGAATTTGTGACTTTTTTTTTTCCCCTTCGTCTTAAAAAAATGTGTAACCAAATCAATCCTTGCTTTCCTGTGATTGACTTTTTAAGATAACAATTCTCAAAGAAATAATTACACAATTCACAAATAATTAATAGGAAAACATGATCTGCATCATTGATAAACAAAGAATATATAAACAGCGTGTAGTGAACTTAAAAAAAAATCAATATTAAAATTCTATTAAAAGTTTGTTTTATATGGGTTGTACATTACATGTATCTTGCTGCAGTTCTGATCTTAAAGAAACAGATCTATCGCCCATTTAAATGTTACAAACAAATCATGCAAAAGACGAATTAATTACGTGTTTTGTTGTTGTTGTTGTTTTTTATTTTATTTTTTTTTTATAAATATTTTAAACTTTTTTTCCCGGTGGAAAAATGCATTTAGTTGTTTTATTTCTTTTTTCATTATTATTATTTTATCATAGTTATTATGATTTGGCAAGGTTATAAGATGAATTTTGAATGTGAAGTAAATATACTTAAACATTTAAGTGAGGAAACAAGTTTTTCTTCAAAATGATTCCATCTTTCTTCTTCTTCGAGAATAAGCCAAAAATGAAAAAAAAAAAACAAAACAAAACAAAAAACAACTCCCTCATTTATCAGATTATTTGGAAAAAATAAATATATTACAAGAACATTTTATCTTACCCGCTGTGGAGTACTGAGGGCTGGAAGAATGGCATAGCAGTGCCTGCTAAGAGGGGTGTTTTAAACTCTTTCAAAAAATGCTGAGTTTGACGGATTCAACCAATCAGCGAAAACAGCGTCATTTTACATTGATAATTAAAATATATTGGAATGAAATTTGACAGAGCAAAATGGTGGGGATCACACACGATTTGTGTGAAACGCCCGTTTAAATACGATTTGCATAAAGTGTCATTTGAAGGTGCATCTTACAAAGGACATTCAGATAAGGGCATTCAGAGCAAATTAAGCAGAACATCTCATTATAACCCACAGGAACGATCTCGTGACTTCTGAGACCGCGAGAAGAGGGTATCGTCTGTTGCCTATAAATTGTACTTAATTTGAACCATCAGAAATAGAGACCGAGTGACGCCGGCATCCTCTGTTGGTGCAGCTACTACACTGTACTACATATGAAACATCAAAAATGGCCAATAACCCCAATATTCAGGACACATGGTCAACCTTTAAATATCCGTGCTTTGTATTAAATTAAAGCGAAGATGTCTCCCTTCTGTATCCGGTTACCCCGGATCTATCTATAAATCTGTGTCGCATGCTTTTGTTGCGCAAATTCTGTCATTTTGTGCCATCAGAGTTAACGAGCGGAAACAACCTATAAATGCACTAGATTGTTAATTATTATACTTAATAGTTTTTAGCAAGTTGTGTGAATATCTGCATTTCATAGTAACGTGTCGAGACAGTCATTTTTGCATGTTATGCAGACAGGTCTTATGCATATGGCCATGCCGAACATCTGACAAAAACTGTAAACTTAACTTTGCAAGTCAAAAATACTTCGCATTTAATGTTATAAAAGAACATATTGTGTAGGTTAATTTCTTTTATTAAAAAAAAAGTTGGCGAACATTTCATGTCCCAACAAACTGATTGAGAGACGATATTTCTCTGGATACCACTGATGAAGTAAAATCCTTCTTCCTCAGCAACGTTAATGTGGCGAGCACTGATTGCTGAACAAATTTGACGTATAGAAATTATTGAATTAAAACAGTACGACATATGATAGGATAGGATAGGACAAATGAAGGACAGAGATCCATACAGAATATTAACAAAACACGTGACTAAATCTCAATTTATTACCCTTATCAGTCCAAGTACTGTTACCAGCACGTTGTGTACACAAAAAAGTTAAATGGAAATTTTCTTGGGATAATAGATTGTATAATCAATAAAATCAACTGTAAATCAATAGTAATAATAATAAAAATTAAATTATTAAATTGATTACCAAAATCTTAACACCTTCTTAACGCTCGCCTCCTTAGAGTTGTCAATATTAATATTATGCAGTTCAAATGTATTAACACCTGAAGACGGGTTATTAAATCCAGAAAGCACTTGAGTTGAATGAAATTTGGAAACTGTGCATTTTCTTTTTCACACACACACACACACCCTCACACACACACACACACACACACACACACACACACACACACACACACACACATATATATATATATATATATATATATATATATATATATATATATATATATATATATATATATATATATATATATATTTATTTATTTATTTATTTATTTATTCATATATGCCACAATATTTAATTTTCACACTAAAAGTTTTTAAGACAAGTGAAATCAAAATGTTTTTTAAATGGGTAAAATTCTGGCCTTACCTCAGCAAGTTTCCTGCGGCAACTGTTGCCGTTAGTGTATTCAGTGGGGGTTTGGGGTATTTACCCAGAGCGAGGCAAACTATATCGAGGACTGTTCATTGATAAAATTTACAACCTCAGCCTTGACCTTACTTCACCTCATCCCGGTCGTATTGACTCTCTAAACACTGAGATAATGCTTGCCTTTATCGGATTATTATATCATGATACTTTACAGTTTTAGTGAAAAGAAGAAGTAAATATTAAATTTCATCGGTCATTTTGAAATCCTTTGGGATCAATTAAAATTTTAATTTACTTAAGGTTAAGTTAATAATTACAGACCATACACAGGTCACTTTGTCTGGTAAACAGAAGCGGGATCCAATTACATTTTTTTAACCAATTAAAAATCTCTGAACTTGAAACTGGAGGCCATGATTCCTCATATATATATTATTACAAAGAACAAGGGGTAGGTGAAGTAATATATGAAGAGCAATGGGTACGAAGAGGTTATATGACGTCAGAGTTTAACAAAGCACACTCTTCCGTAGTGTTGTTACTTCTCCCCAAGTCCTGGACAAGATCCTCGCTGCAGTAAATACCGTTAGTGTACTGGGAACCCATTTCTAACTCTTTATAATTTTTTTTAATAAAAGGCTGGCAATATTTGCCTCACAATTCAGAGGACATCATTCTAAAATATTTGCACATTTTTATTTTAAAAAGCATTTGGAATACATTCAACACAAAATCATTAATGACATATTTGTATAGTCTAAATTTCACGGTTAAGTTGGCAGAATTGAATGTAATAAAGAGTCCTTACCATGACGAAATAAGCTATGATATTTGGCATTATTTTGAAAGCCCCATCCACTCAATACATAACTCTCACTACATTTTGGTCTCCAAACATTACAAAACGCACTGCCCCACTTGTAACACCGTCGTGCGTGAACCCCAAAACATACTTCGGCAAGGCCCATACTGGACACAAATTCTAAACGTCGTTTCCACATTATTTCAATGATATGCGTCTATACGACTTTGTCCATTTATACTTATTGCATAACTCTGGTTGGTTGTCGTTCTGCTTTGACAAAATATGATGACATGACACTTTGGCAAAACCGTAAATATATTCATTGTTCATTGCCAAATTTTTCTAGACACCCTTTTCTGCAAATGAACTGTTCATGTTCGACCAGACATTCATTTTGCAGTACAAATTGATTTCTATAAAACTCCTTAAAATTGTTTGCCAATTTGTAGACAGTACTCATCAACGACATTCAAAATTCCAAAATAAATTACAAAACAGGGACAAATTTCAATGTAAGATGAACCTTAATTCTGATCGCCCAAAATAGTCATGAGTCTTCTTTAATAATTTCTTTTCAACATTATATATAACAAAAGATAAATGAAATTATTTTATGCAAATCAAACTAAAATACGATAGCATTCATCCATTACTTTAAAAAGAGGGTCTCCAATTAATTTTACAAATCTAAGAAATTTCAGAAAATCGAGTACATTTACAAGCAGGGTATATAACATGAAAAAAAATAATTGCTTCAATTAGCCAATTGAACATTTTCTAAAGGACATATCAGTGCCCTTAGGAAAAAAGTTCTGGTATCGATCTTTTTTTTTACAGCAATATCGACACACCTACGGTCATTAGGCAATGTTAAGGAAGTAAATGCTACATAACAAGGTTTTGAAGCCTGGCACGAACCTGATATTAAAGTAAAATTTAGGAGAGAAAACGTTACGGAAGTTAATTTTAGCAATAAAAGTTGAAATTCTTGGCAATAGATATACCGGTATTTACCCGTTTGTTTTAAGATGTTAATCAAAAGTATGTAGTTTAATAAAACTTTTTTATACTTTAAATGCAAGAACATTCCTGAATCATCGGTAGGGAAGTTAGATTCTTAAGAGAGACATGCAATTATTTTTATCTAATTCAATTTGTTATTTTGAAAATGCACTGGTCTTATTTATCTGACCCGTAACTACATGTACAATCGATCATAATAGGATATATGGTCACTTTCAGGTAAGTTCCAGTTCATTATCAGTTCTGTGTGGTTTGTGTGCAATTAAAAAAAAAACATTACGGAAGTTAATTGATTTTCTGCGACATGCCATTATCTCGTATATAAATCAAGATCCATGCATTTCTTGGCAAGAAGATTAAAGGGGGGAGGGGGGGGGCTTCATTACACTTGCAGAAAAAAATAGGGTTTTAAGAATATCAAGACTCAAACTGCATGAATATTTATAAAACTGTATATGCAATGTACCCGATTTTCAATCTTAGGGGTTGAAATCGATCTCGTAGAAGTGATATGAATATTGTTATTTGGTCATGTTTTTGTAAAATGGCTCTTGTGCATGCACAAACTTTTTAAAGGCCCGTACAATATATAAAACAAACAACGTGTCTTGTATCTATAATATGTAAGGGAAACCATGTGTCCAATATTTAATTCAAATGTGTAAGAAACCACGTGCTCAACATATTCTGACAACGGTATTGAAATCACATGAATGAAAAATACTCATTTTCTGAGTACAAGCTTAATTTATACATTAAAATTAGAATTTCTTCAATTGCCGCATCATTATAATGCATTATGAAAACCAATAATTCAAACTTCAGATACCCCGAAAAAAAACACTATAAACTATTTAACCTTAGAATTCCTGTTCCCTCGGTTAGATGAGTTGTGTACACATGTATATATGATTTATCGGTTATTGACCTCTATACGTCACCAGACCTTCAGAGGTTATCAGTATTTATTTCAAAATTCATTTCAGTTTGCCAGAGTTAACTTCTCATGCTGACCTTAATGTTTCACAACCTTTCTGTTCACTACTAAATTTAAGTTCACTGCTATAATCAGACGTATACACATCCTTGTCAGAATCTACAGGCACTGACTAGGCAGTTATCCTTTTAAAACAAAATAAACACACATAAAATTATTTTACTTTGATTCATCATTGTGAACTCATTTTTTATGCCTCTATATTGAAATTCATATACTTCATCAGTGGCGGATCCAGTAATCTTGAAAAAAGGGGGGGGGGGGCGACCAGTTTGCGGTCGGGGTAGGGGCCCACGGCCAAACACAAAAAAAAATGATTTATTACAACTTATGTAAATTTTGGACATAAAGGGGGGGGGGCTGCCCCCCCCCCCTCTAAATCCACCAGTGCTCATGTAATGAAATCACTTGATTAATTATAAATTGTCTTGCATAATGACAAGAAACTAATTAGTAGTTAGTAAAGGAATGTATGTAGCATTCTGGTAGTATATTAGTGGTTAGTAAAGGAATGTATGTAGCATTCTGATAGTATATTAGTAGTTAGTAAAGGAATGTGTGTAGCATTCTGATAGTATATTAGTAGTTAGTAAAGGAATGTATGTAGCATTCTGGTAGTATATTAGTAGTTAGTAAAGGAATGTATGTGGCATTCTGGTAGTATTTTAGCCTAGAACTGTTATGTAGCACCTTCTTTGTCATAGCCAAATAAGGAAATCCCATATTTTTAAACCAGTAAAGATTTCCAGAAATAATTCAGCTATACCATAGACTCATTGCCGACAGCTTGTCTTAAAATAAAAGTGACAAAGTCCTGACGATAGGGGAGTTAAAAAAAAATCATTAAAATCCTGTCAAATACTGTAAAGGACAAGTTAATTTGATGCAAAGCATCAAATCGGTCGCAAAATATATTTAGCATTTTGAAGTATTTCCACAAGAAAGAGTCCAAAGAAAAAAATTCAAGTAGAAAAAGTATATGAAGCTTTACTTCTCCGTGTTGTGATAGATATTCATCACAATAAATGTGAAGTGGAGAAAAAATATTCATTGTGTCATTTGCAACTGTAGTGTATTCAAAACAAAATTCAGTTCGTTTACAATTTATTAATTATTTTAGGCACTGTAATTCATATCCGGAAACTCAATACATTTGTTTTTTTTAAATTTTTTACGCACACCCATGTTGGGGAGCATTTTTTTTTTTTTACTTTTTATAAAATCAAATATTAATAAATATCTGATAGGAGATGAAAACAAATTGAAACGTGATAATAATTATTTAAACTTAGTATTAAGCAAAATTTTAAAACTTTTATTCATAACTTTTACGTGTGTTATCAATAAAGAATTATTACAAAGAAGCAATGCAAAAAAATAACGTCTCATTTCCCCATGTGCACTTTCTAACACAACCTCAAATAGATCGACCGTTGCTGCGGTCGATAATAATATTTTGTCAATATTTATTTGAACATGTATCTTAATATTTATTTGCGCACTGCCTAGACTGCGATGCCCTTGATGATCGTGGGTCTTGTTGACATGTGACCTCCTTGCAATAAGCGCCTCTTTAACACCCATCCTTGCGAACACAGTGTCAAAAAGAGGATCAAAACACGATTTAATCTTGTCAATCCTTCATTACAAGTGACGGTCTTTGATGCCTCAAATTTTTATTTCCTGTATCTATCCTTTTAAAAAAAGATCTGCCATTTACCGTTGTAATAAAAGAGATCATTCTACATGTACAGAAAGCTACTTCATTCCTCGCCTTAATTACTTCGTTAATTATCACAATATATAGGATGTACAAATTTATTTTGTCGGTTAATAAATTGCCTGTAATTTACCTGTTTGTATGGATTTTTCTACCATAAGAACATTTTTAATAATTTTTTTCGTATTCCTTGTTTCGAAATATTTTCTACACACAATTTGTTTCATGACAGAATTTTAAAAAATCGAAACTCTCAAATAACGATTTATAGATAAATAAAAATGCACACAATCGAAATTCCATTCATTGCTTACTTGTCTTGTAAACACAATTAGGTATTTCACAAAATCAATATAAATCAAAGAGATTAAAGATGGACAATACTTTTACTGGCACTTTCCTAATTATCAACGCATTAGACATGTATATTGTTAATGTATATGAATTTATAATGAATGTCACTTCGTCCTGATTTTATCTATTTTTTCGATATGCTCATTAAATTTGGTTCCTGGAATGAGTCACCAGTATTATGTCCTTAATTATACGTTCCCTTTATTTCTTCAGAGAAGCAATGTTAAAGAGAAGGTAGAAGCACCGACTTCGCCGACAAAATTATTCTTTAAAAAAACTAAAATGAACAAAACTGCATCAACACAGTGTGCCCAAAGAGTGCAGAGAGTTCAGAACAGGGCATCTCTAAGTATTATAGGAATTGTTACTTCTTTTATGAAGGGAAATAGAGCCAGTTGTTTTTATAGTAATCAGTACAATATGTTATGTAAATAGGTGCAATACCATTGAGTGATTAGGAGCGTACTCTGACACTATAGGAGGCGTCTACAGCCTCTTGGCGAATGTAATGATTTACATCATGCCAAAGACAAAAATTATTTATTTTTATCTCAAAACTATTTCTTTTGATTTGACAATGTCATTGAATAATGCATGCATATATTTGACTGATGTATTTTTTAGAACTAATTTGCAATCTAATTCTAAAATGCAGAATAATCAATGAAGTGAAATAGAAATGATTTTTTTTTAATTTTTTAAACTAATTTGCAAATTAATTCTAAAATACAGAATAATCAATGAAGTGAAAAAGAAATGATTTTATTTTAAATATCAGACTTTAAAATTATATTGACAGCAGATTTTATCATAAACAATTATTTTTACAAAGCATAGTAACAGACTCGGCGATAAACATACATGTACATGTTTAAAAAAATATTGTTTTTTTTTTTTTGTTTATTTCAGCTTGACTGAAAGGTAGGGAGACAAAAGTGGGTTTTTTTCCGTTAATCGTAGTCAAAAATGTAAGTCGACTGAACAATACCTTCATATTCTGATATAGTTTATTCAGAATATAACTTTGGGCAATACAGCCCATCAGTATACAATAATAACATATAATTATTACAAATTTTACATTGAAATTCTATCACTTCTTGGCTGG